TGTTCAGTTTTAGAAAGTAGAAGCCATACAGATGATATTGCCAGATATATGGAATAAAATTAGTTAACATAAGAATAATAAAAACAACACAGGGCATGAAAAAATTAAAACTTTTCCCACTAATTCTTAAAGAGGAAATCAAATTTGAAACTATATACATTTTACAATTTTAAAATACCACTGCTCTTATCAGAGCTCAAGATCTTTGGTTAAAGTCATTTTTAGAAAACTACATACCCATAAAAACTTTTACTTTTTTTTTTTTAAAAAAAAAAGTTCTAGTTTTGAGGCAAGGAGGAGTAGATTACCTTCTCCATGTTCTTCCTGCCAAGTACAGCAAAAAGTCCTGGTTATTATATACAAAACAAACTGAAGAAAGAAGTCTAGGAACTTTAGGATCTAAAAAATTGCACCACAGTGAATTTGCTGGGTTTCTATTTTGAGCGGTATTACCTGTTCTCAATGACAGAAACAAACTGAAAAGAGAAAACGCACACACACACACACACAAAACACTCAGGAAAAATACTTTCTGGCTAGCCAAAGAAACAGGAGAGCAGCATGCTGGCCAGGCATCCTAGGGACAGTTTTGCTCTAGCCAAATACTGCCCTTCTTAGTAGAGGCTAAATGAGGATCCTCCATTTCCACCCTCACGAGGCATCCTTTCTCCTCAAAGGCATAAGCAGAATAGGGACCGGCAGATGTAGTGGAGGAGATGAAGTGGAGAATTTAAGAGTTTCAGCTGATGATCCTTCAGCTTGACCATCTCTCATCTACCGTCTAAGGTACCCTCCCACTTGCAACCAGTAAAGCTTCTTGTCCATACCGCATAATCCTTAATATGCCACTATAGTGAACCACCATGTTAAGGTAACTGTTAAAGTAGTTTATTTACAGTTGTACTAAAAAATTATACCCAAGTGCCCTCTGACAAGGGCCTTCTATCTAGAACATATAAAGAACTAACAAAAATATCAGGCCCCCAAAATTCAAAGACCCAATCCAAAAATGAGCATCTGAGATGAATATACTCTTCTCAGAAGAACTACAAATGGCAAACAAATATATATATAAAAAAGTTCAACATCATTGGGCATTCAAGAAATGCAAATTAGGGCCGGTGAAATAACTCAGCAAACTAAACAATTGCTTGAGCAAGCTGAGGGGCTGGGGTTCAACCATCCGCACCACATGCAACGCAAGCCCCGACCCCAGGGCTCACTGAGATGGTGATTGAGAGTGACCGTGGTGGTGCACGCCCGTAATCCCAGTGCTGGGGAGGCTGAAAAGAGGAGTCTCACTATGAGTCTGAGCTGCATAGTAAGACCCAGTACCAAATACATTTAAAAAAGAAATGCAAATTAAAACAACGCTGAGATTCCATCTCACCTAAGAAAGGATGGATACAATCAAGAAATCAACCAATAACAAATGCTGGAGAGGTTGTGGGAAAAAAAGAACCCTTCTCCACTGTCAGTGGGTGTACAGACTGGTATAACCACTATGGAAATCAGTTGTGGAGAAAAAACTAGAATTCAAGGTCCCATACAATCCCAGCTATTCCCCTCTTGATATTTTTCCAGAAGAATTGAAAACATTATACAACAGCAATACATGTGTACACATGTTCATAGCAGGGCAATTTGTCATAGCTAAATCTTAGAAGCAACCCAAAAGCCCATCAACTGAGAAATGCATAAAAAAGATGAAATATTTTTACACAGTGGAGTATTGTTCAGTGAAGTATTTTTATGCCATAAAAATGATAAATTTTAGGCTTTTATCAGGAAATGGATGCAACTAGAGACCATCCTCTTAAGTGAAATAAATCAGACCTGCATGTACAAACATCGTATTATCTCCTTCATGTAAGAACCTGAAAGGGTAAATAAAATCTGGGGGGCAGGGTTGGGTTTTTTGTTTGTTTTTGTGGTACCGGGGATTGAATTCAGGACCTTCCACTTACTAGGCAAGCGCTTATTCTACTGAGCTAAAGGCTGCCTAGGGTTTTTTTTTCCCAAGGGTAAATAAAATCTGAAGGGTACAATAGATTCTGGGAAAAGAGAATGAACCTGTTCAAAAGGAAGGAAGTACTGAGATAAAGAGAAGGGCAGGAGAGGAAATGGGGAAAAGAGATGTATCTATGTATGTAGTACACAAGATGGCTTGGATGATTGTACTGTAGATTTCTGCTGGTCTGTGGAAAGGAGAAGTTGATGTCTTTTTCTTCTTTTTCTCTCTTTTTTCTCTTGTTAATTTCTTATAATATTTTTTCTTTTTTCTTTCTTTTTCCAATTTTGCATGCATATCTGGTAATCTGAACAACAAATTTGAAAACAATACTATTCAACACAATAAATACTGTCAAATTTACATTATTCTCTTTAGTGAAATTCTGTATTATTTGTATTTTTTTCTTTTTAATACTATTTTGTATTCTCTTTCAAAATGAAAAAATATTTTTTTTTCTCCATGTCAAGATGAAGATGGAACCAGCTTAAATTCAAGTATCCTGGCAGCACTCCGAAAAATGCAGGATGGCTATTTTGGGGGGGCGAGGTAAGTGACCTGTATACTCTTTTTAGTGAAGCAAATTTCTTATTTGGGCCGCTGAGTTGAGTAATGGCAGTTATGGCAGTTATGTGATGCTTCTTTCTGCATCTTCAACAACATAGAAGTCTGATAAAAAAATGGTGAATGTTTAAATACAAGTAATTTATGACAGTAAAAGGCATATTGCCATTAATGTCAGTCAAAACACACCCCATTGCTTTGCACACAATTATCCCATCACTCTTGCCAGTTTCCAAAGATATTCTGGAAGTCCTTTTATAGGAGTGGTTTTAGTTGCACTGTTGTAGCTGCCCCAGTGTCCTAAATCAGCTCAGAATGTTTACCTTTCATGCTCATTTTGACTTTGAGGAAGAACCAGAAATTCCATTGTTTCAGACTCTGTGAATTACAAAGGTGAGAACACAACATCATGTTTCTGTGGGACTGCCCTTCTGTTGGATAGCACTCAGCAGCCACATTCCTAGAACTTTTATTGAAGCTTCATGAAGACACAAAAGGCGATTTCCAGAACTGCTTCAAAAGTGACAAGAGGGGCCAGGGAGATGGCTCAGTAGAATAAGCACTTCCTTGGCAAGCACAAGGGCCTGAGTTCAATTCCTGGTTCTGCCAAAAATAATAAAATAAACAAAAAAGAAATTTGATTTCCTTTGGGGCCGGGGAGATGGCTCAGTGGAATAAGTGCTTCCCTGGCAAGCGCAAGGGCCTGAGTTCAATCCCTGATTCTGAAAAAAAAAAAGTGACAAAAATGATGGGATCAGTGTATGAGAAGTAAGGGGAAGTATATTGAGCAGGAAGAAATGGCAATATATCTTTCACTGTAGTAAATTTTTCATTCGAATATTCACCCTATATTTCAATCACATCTCAGAACCCTACTTTACTCAGAGAAGCTACTGTTTGATACATCTGATCAAGGACCTTAATGTTATAAAAGAAAGCTGGAAATTTTTTATACCCTGTTTTTTTGCCTGGATCTCAGGGGACCAGAAAAAAGTTACTAAACTATGTAGTTCTGACCCCGTTGCTTTGTTTTTTCTCACTTTCCTTTTGAAAAATTTCAAGCTTACATAAATTTGCAACAGTTTGCAAGAGAACCCATATACCCTTTCTAAAAATTCACTTAACTGATTTTTGTCCCATTATGCTTTTTTCTACCTCCTCTGACCTCCCTTCCTTGCTTCCTTCCTACTTTCCTCCTCCCATGTATATGTGCACATGCATACACACACAATATCTATAGAGATACACAGATATTTTATTAAGAAGGTTAGCAATAGTTATGATTCTTTATCCCTAAATACTTTGGTTTCCACTGTCTAATAACAAAGGCATTATATATAACCACAATACGATCACACTTAGGATATTTTATATTTTTGTACCACTGTAGTCCCTCTTTATCCACAAGGAACACTTCCCAAATACATCCAGTGGATTTCTGAAACCAGGAATAGTACCTGTAAATCAGGCACAGTACCAGATTAATAACAATAACTAAAAATAACATAGAGCTGCTATATGCTACAATAAAAGTTATTTAAAACTTAAGTATAATTTAGATCCATGATTTTACATTTACTATTTTAGGACAGCAGTTGATATGGATTCCTGAAACTGTGGAAACCAAACCAACAGTTAAGGAAGGAGTTCTATGCCTCAGCAGTCACCAAACTTTATACAAGAGGGACTGGTTTTGCGGAGTGGGAGGAATGGTTTCTGAATGATTGAAAGGAGCCCAACCCAGATCACTTGCTTGTGCAATCCACAAGAGGGCTACTAGCCCTTTGAGACTCTAACACTGTAGCTCATCTGACAGGAGGTGGAGCTCAGGTGGTAATGCAAGTGAGCGATGGGAAACTGCTATAAATACAGATGAAACTTCACTGGCTGCCCTCCCCCATCACTGCTCCCCAGGTCTGTGATCCCTGGGGTTGGGGTCCACTCTCTCATATAGAATCTAAATTCAGAATTATCCAATTGTCACAATGAGATTTTTCCACATATTTTTTTCCCAACTAAGACTAACCAAAGATCACTCATGAGCATTTACTTGTTGTATCTCTTTTGTGATTTAATCTAATCTTAATCTAGAACAGTTAGCCAGTAGCTTGTTTATCTTTCAACGGGTTCATTAAATTTTGAAGAGGGCAAGTCACTTAATTTGCAGGATGTCTCAGTTTGAATTTGTCTGGTTGTTTCCTCATGATGAGATTCAGGTCACATGTTTGGGTAGGAATACTACCAGTGTAGTGTTGAATCTTGGTTGAATTTCAGATCTTTAAGATGAGTGCACCCCTTTGATGATTAAAACACAAAATCGAAATAAAGATTTTATTACATACTGGCCCAGAGTTGCGGGAAGTAAACAACATGCCTGGAAGCCACACATAGAGGCCAGGGAACGTATGGCAGTATGAGGAGCAGAAGGGTGATGAGGTAAAGAGGAGGAGGAGGAACAAAGACAGTCCTAGGGGCCAACATGTGAACACATTTATTAGGATCCAAAGCATTATCCAAACAGTTTTCAGTACATAATTTTAATGGATAGATTTAAAGCAAGCGGACACAATATGTAAGCAGTCATTCAGAAAGGGTAGCATGTCTGCAATCTTTGGATGTGTGGGAATCAGCAGGTCACAGAGATGGTCACCAGAAGGGAGTTGCACAAAGCAAATATTTGGATGGACCACACTGAGGAAATGAGGGCAGAGTAGAACTGGAAATTTTCAAGGGTGATTGAGCCCTGCTTCTGGTAGGAGAAAGCTCAACCTACATTCAAAACAGATACTGAAGTAACACAAAATTATAAGCATTCACTACAGCCCTCAGGGCAGCTTATGAGGAGGCCCTGGTATGTTACATTGTTGGTGAGGTTAACTTGATCACTTGGTAAAGATGTCCACCAAATTTTTTCTTATCTTTCCCAGCAATCTTTGACCAAATGATGTTAGTGCTCCTTGATTTTTGCATGAATGACTTATTACTAATGAAGTTGTAAAATGGTGCTCCCATAACTATCTGAACACTCATTAGTTACACTCTTTATGTTTAAAAAGTTCTTTCCATCTTTTTGTTCTGTTCATTATTCAGTATCAGCATATATCCATGGATTGTTTTTTATTAGCACCATATTTGCAGAACACAATGATCACATTTATCCTGGAAGATATATGCATGTATATAATACATCTTAATTCTTTTTGTACTTTTCCCCTCCCCTCCCTATTTACAAAAGCTCTATTTCAATTTTTTCCTTCAATTCTTTTTTTTTTCTTTCAATCCCTTCTACCTTCCTTTTCCTGTCCCTGCCTACCTTCCTTTCCTTGTTCCCCTTCACATTTGAACAATTTCTTCCTATCCCCTAGTATCTGCTCCCCATTTTATACTTTGAGTTCCTCATTCAAAAGAAACAATCTAATACTTAAACCTGTATATCTGATTATTTCATTTACCATTATGGTCTCAAGGTGCAACTGCTTAACTAAAAATGGATTCTTACTTTGTTCAACATGAAGTGTTAAAATAAAAAATAATAATATGTATGGGG